TGCGGCGATTCAGAGCAGAACAGTGTTGGTCCAGGGCGTTCCTCAAGAGCAATGGCTCGTTACGTGGTCCGACGGCGGCATGGTATACGCCACATGGGAACCTGTGGACCGGTTGAGAACGGTTTTTCCTGACTTGCAACTTGAAGACAAGTTGTTTCTCCAACCAGGGGAGAATGATACGAGTGCTTCCCCAGAGGACGTACCGGTTACTAGGCCTCGACGATCGACGCGACGTCCAAGGCGTCTTGATGATTATGTTTAAATCTTTTCTTTTACATTATGAATTTTTTTATTGTATTTTAGTATTTTCGTAGGTGAGCATAATTATAAGCTCCTTCAAGGGTTTTCTTTTCGATTCTTTCCCTTGACGCCTTTGTTGAACCGACAGGTTAGATAACCGTAGTTTAGTAGGAATGGGTTTCATCTTATCCTACAAAAAGAGATGTAACCTAGTTATTCAATAAGGAGAAACACTTAATTCCCTAAACCCTACTCTCTCTCTCTCTGTTTCTCTTCCTCTCCCTCACGGCATCTCCAGCCGTTACCAACTTGGTAACAGTTTGGGTGCAAGGTTTTCGGACAACAATGGTGGGGGGTGTACAGGTTCGTCAAGATTTGGTGGAATGGACCAATGGGGGTGTCAAAACAGCCACTTGGGAACTGGTGACATCCTTGCAGCACCATTTCCCCAATCTACACCTTGAGGACAATGTGGATTTGCAATCGGGGAGGAATGTTATAGATCCTAGTACCACCGAACCCATATAATCGATGGAGGTCAACCAAGGAGAGGATGTCTGAGACCATGGTTCGAGTACGGTAGAACACGTCGGTAGTGTTAGGCATAGCAACGAGAATGCAGTGATACGACAAAGCACTCGAGTTAGAAAACCACTGGCATGGCGTAACAATTACACAACATGAGGCTCCGGATAATTATTGCTCTTTTATTATTTAATGATAATTATTTATCTATGTAGATTTTAGTAGGTGAGGATGTTTTAAGCTCCTTCGAGGGTTTCTTTACGATTATTTACCTCTTCGCTTTTTATTGAACCATCAGGATATCAAATGTAATTTAAGTAGGATTAGGGGTTCTCTCATTATAAATAGGGAGATTAACCTCATTCATAATAAGGAATAATAAGATACTAAACGCTAATCTCTCTCTCGTGCCCTTTGTGTTTGGCAGCAACACTAGCGCCGGATTCTTCTTCTCTCCCTTTACCTTGAAGACACTCAAAGCCTTCGCTATCCTGATACTCTCGTATCATAGCAGTCCGCAACCGATGGAGTCCAGAAAGCTTCACAATCCCAAATTTATAATAGAAGATGGAGTTATGGGTTTGGAAATTGAAGGAATGAAAGGACTTGCTTTTGTTCTCTTAAAATTTAGAATTGGCCGACTCTTATTTGGGCTTAAAAATTGAATCATATTGATTTATACGGATATGGGTTTTGATTATTTGGTTAACCAAATTAACCGATGTTAAAAACCGAAATCAGACCGAATAAATCGAGAGAACTGATATTTTGAGAATATATAACCGAAACCAAAAATGGTTTTTCGATTATTTCGGTTTTCGCTTTCGTGGTTGGTCTGGTTAATTTACTCACTTCTATAAGTCACGTCTCTCCCACGTCGCATGTCATAACACATAGTGTCAACTAGTATCACACCTGTGCAGGTCATATTTACGTTATGAAATGATATTGATGTCAATATTGAAATATAGAAATAGACTACATAATGAATTATAAAACTCTATAGCATGAATTTCAAATGAATTATAAATTTTAAAAAATTTCTTTATAAACTACATTGGTACTCACCATTCATTGATTGCAACCTCATTTTTTGTAAAATGCAACTAAGTGCATTATATTCAAATGCAGGAAGAATGAATCATTGAATTAATAATTAACTTATTTGTTTTATTTTATGATTGCTGGAAATATTTAACGAAAATCCCCACCAAACACAATTATTTTTCATCCAAACATTTGATTTTTATTCATTGGATTGAAAAATCATAGAATATTATACAAAATTCTATCTAAAGCTTTAAAACAATACTTATATATTATTACTGCTTCATCCGAAAAAATTAATTTTACATTCACTAAGAGTTGTGGTAGTAGAGTTTTTGCTTTATGTGGCAAAAGTTGAGTTTGCAATCTGAGTTTAGCAGAATTTTAAAATGTGAATGAGTTGTTCTTCCACATGAAAAAAGTAATGATGTTATTCGAGTGATGTGACATTCAATATTACGGAGTATATCATTTCTAGACTGTATTGGAATAGATAAAGTTTTAGAGACATATGTCTTGCGAGTTCCTTCGCACCTATAGAGAAACAAACTTTACTTGCATATATATATATATATATATATATATATATATATATATATATATATCCACAAAATGCATTATAGCGTCATACGTTTCTATTACATGATCATTATTACGTGTGTGTGCGTGAACACGCAAGTCCTATGCTATAAAATTGGACTTGCAAATTCTAGATTCTTGGATACATTTACGAAGTGTTTCTGTTTCTATTACTCATTAATCATCGTATTTATAAAGATACAATTAACCTAATTGTAAATAATCACTTTTTAGAAATTAAGGCTTTTTATTTTCGTCCCATTCTTTTATTTAGATGAATTTTAAATTAAAATTTATACTCCATCTATTCATATTTAATTGTTCGATTCGATTTCCGGACTTAAAGTTTGCATTAACAATATCTCTTAAAATATATTTAAAAGAATATTAAAAACAATACGTTTAATAATTTTTCAATATCAATAATTTGGTATAATTTTATACTTTTATTCATTGTATATTTTTAGAGTAAATTCTCTAAATAGTCCTTTATAAATATGTGATTTCCATATTTAGTCCATATTTATCAAATATTAAGTAGTCAGTCCCTATTAATTAGGTATCATTTCACGTTTAGTCCTCCATCTATTTTTCCATCTACGTGTCATTAGACAAGAACCAAACGTGAAAAGGTACCCAATCAATAAGGACCACGGAAATAATATTTGATAATATGGACTAAATATGGAAATTCCCCCTGTTACAAAGAACTTTTTGGAGAATTTGTTCTTTTTAAACCACTTTTAATATAAAAATTAATAGATAGGAAAAATGTATAACTGTAGTTTATTTATAAAAAATCAAAATTTGTACACCACAAAAAATAGTTTATCAATAAATCCAATTTTGAATATGAGAATCTATTCGAAACTGATAGGAATTAAAAACATATTCGAAGTTTTTATCCCTTTTTAATAATGTAAGAGCTTCAAATTTTTTAACTCCAAAATAAGAGTATAATGCGAATAATGCCAATATTTAATATCACTATACAATGTCATTATGTCACAGTGCAAACTCGTATATTGAAAAAAAACATGAAATTCTTATTTTGAGGATAGATGTTATATTTACTCTTATTTGGATGATTTCAAATTACTTATTAATTTCTATATCTTCCAAGATAATTCTCATATTAAAAAAATGAATTTTTTGTTAAATTATTTTTAATGATAATTTTGACTTTTTATATACAAACTAAAATCATATACTTTTCATATTTATTACTACCTTCGTCTTAGAGTATTGATCTACTTTTAAGTTTTTTGTCAAAATCAGCAATCTTTGACCACGAAATAAATAAAATTAATATTAGATATTGATACAAAAATAATAAAATTGAATTTATGTAAATAATTTTATTTAATTTTAGGCCAAATGTTAAAAATGATTGACTGCAAAAAGTCAAAATTGGACAAAAACTCAAAGACGGAGGTAGTACTTTCAATATTAGAAGGGGAAGGTTCCCATGACATTGGTTCCCAATGTCATGGGAACCAAAGTGATATTAGAAATGGTTTTAGAAAAGTAAACTCTCTAAATTGTGCTTTATAACGGGAGAATTTACATATTTAGTCCATATTATCAAATACTCCCTCCGTTCCTTTAAACTCTTCCACTTTTGACTTTGGACAATAATAAGGAAAGTGTAATTTTGGTTGACTTTCCAATTTTGCCCCTGATGTGATGGGTAAAAGTAAGATGTGATAGTTTGGTTATTAGAGAAAAAGTATGATGTGATAGGTAGGGTATGAAAAAGTAAGGGTAAAAGTGGGTTTTTAATAGAAAGTGGAAGTGTTTTAGGGAATTAAAAAAAAACGAAAGAGGAAGGGTTTTGTGGAACGGATGGAGTATTATTTATGTGGTCCTTATTGATTGGGTATCATTCCATGTTTGGTCCTTGTCTAACGGCAAGGAGACAGAAAAATAGATGGAGGACGACTAAATGCGCAATGATACTCAATTAATAAGGACTGTCAATATAATATTTGATAAATGTGAACTAAATATGGAAAACCCCCATTTATAAAGGACTATTTAAAGAATTTACACATATTTTTATATACAGTTAGTCAAATTGGTTTACATATTAATGTTTGAAAAAAATAACACTTATTTTGTAAACTCAAAATTAAATGTCATCTTTTTCTTTATACACATAATAAAGAATATTACGGAGTATAATATAGGTTTCCATTTATATATTACCATAATGGTACAAGAAATATTACCATTTATATATTATTCATTTATGTTAAGAAAATAAGCAATATTATGTTGGACTTTAATATTTCCTCTTTTTTAACATACATATAATAATAAAATACATTAATATATTACCATAAAATGCACACATGTCATATATAATCCAAAGTCAATGTGCTGTAAAATAAGTTCAACATTTGTCCTACTTTTAAATAAAGTATTGATTACTATCTTCAAAAAAAAAAAGAAAAGAAAAAACAAGAAAAGAAAAAGGGAAGTAGCGTATGTAGGAAAAATATAGATCAGAGAAATATTAGTGAAGGGTAGAAATCAAGAATGGATCGCCTATCTTCATTATCATCCTTGAAAAAACAACGATCTTTATGGATATCCACCGCCGATGTAGACGACGAGCACCGGCCAATACTATTGGGCAACCACCACCGTCACGACGCATCGCCTTCATCTTCCAATGAGAACTCTCCAGTGATGAGGCGCTCGTCGTCCCTAATTCATAATAATAACAATAATAATCCCCACGACGGAGATAGTGGGGAGGTCATCGTCAAAATAGACCGAGATAGCAATCAAAGCGGCGACATTCTCCACGACGATGGCAGCGGGGAGTTTGAATTCCAGCATAACGGCAGTAAGGATGTGGCGGAGGACCCGCCGTCGAGGCTGATCGGCCAGTTTCTCAACAAACAGAGGGCGGCAGGGGGAGAGATATGTCTGGACATGGACATGGGAATGGATGAGTTGCGTGACAGCAACTCGGGTGCATGTGCATGTTCCCCCGTTAGTTTTCCTCCCCACGAACCCTATTTCTCTAATCGCTACAACAGCAATCGGATCTCCGCATCCAGAGATCTCAAAGTTCAATTCATTGAAGAGCATTCGGGAGATTCAACGCCTCCCAACAGCAGAGTGGTCGATATCGCCCTCGATCATCACCAACAAAATCATTCTCCATCATCTTCGTTGTCGTCATCTAGTGATGACGACAACGATGAAGAGATGATGGAGCCGCCTCAACAACAACGCAGCAGGAGAAGAATGTCAGGCAGCATGACTTTCAGCTTTAATAACAACAACAACGTTGTTGAGGGGAGTAAAGGAGGAGATGGCCACGTGGTGAAATGCACCTCCTTCCAGAGGAGGGGCAGTTTCATGGCGGGGAGAAGGATGATAAACAAAACCAAGTCAAGGCTAATGGATGACATTGTGGTCGTCCCGGACGTGGTCGTTTCAGAGAAGAAGTCTGGGAGGATATTTGAGAAATCGTCTGTTCAAACCATGAGGTCTTCCGGACTGATGATGGGAAAGTCGCCTGAGGAGGAGGAAGATGATCCTCTTTTGGACGACTTTGACATCCCAGAGGAATTCAAAAGTTCCAAGATAGACGCGCTCACCCTGGCACAGTGGATCAGCTTGGTGGTCATTGTGACGTCTTTGGTATGCACCCTTTGCTTCCCGAGCCTCAAGGCCTACAGAATGAGGGGCCTGAGGCTTTGGAAGTGGGAGGTCCTCATTCTAGTGTTGATATGCGGGAGGCTAGTATCAGGATGGGCCATCAGGGTGGCCGTGTTTTTCATCGAGAGGAACTTTCTACTAAGGAAGAGGCTATTGTATTTCGTGTATGGGGTGAGGAAAGCGGTGCAGAACTGCATGTGGCTGGGGCTGGTGCTCATTGCGTGGCACTCCATGTTTGATAAGAAGGTGGAGGGGAACAACGACTTCCTCCGGTCTGTCAACAAGATCATGGTGTGCATGCTGATCGGCATCACCCTTTGGCTTCTCAAGACTCTCATGGTGAAAGTACTGGCTTCTTCATTCCACGTCAGCAAATTCTTCGACCGTATTCAGGAGTCGCTGTTCAACCAGTATATCATCGAGGCTCTGTCGGGTCCCCCGTTGAACGAGATACACAGCCAGCAGGAGGAGGAGGACAGGGCGATGGCGGAGGTGTGGAAGCTTCAGGATGCCGGGGCGAAGTTGCCCCCGGAGCTTAAAGCATCTGCTTTCAAGCACCTGAAAAGCAACAACAACTTTAGCAGGGTGGTTGATCATGTTGGTGGTGGTGGAGGGGCGACGCCAACAAGAATCTCTGGCATCATATCCACCAGAAGTGTGGTGGAGGAGACAGAGGAGCAGCATCATCATCAAGGGATAACAATTGATTTTCTACACAAGTTAAACCCGAGGAACATTTCAGCATGGAACATGAAGAGGTTGGTGAAAATGGTCCGACACGGGGTGCTGTCTACGCTGGATGAGCAAATCCATTGCACGGCACAGAAGTACGAGGCCAACCAGATCAGGAGCGAGTGCGAGGCTAAATTGGCTGCCAGGAAGATATTTCATAATGTGGCCAAGCCCAAGTCCAAGTAATAACAACAACAACAACAACAACAACAACAATAATAATACTCATCATCATTATCTATCCATCAACAGTAATAGTATTAGTAGATTCATACATAATGAACACATGTCTTTGATTCATATATATTTCATGTATTTATTCTTAGCTCCATCTACTTGGACGACTTGAGGCGCTTCTTGCGACAAGAGGAAGCAGTGCAGGCCATGAATCTTCTAGGCGGATCGCGCGATTGCAGAAGGATCCGGAAAGTGTCCCTTAAAAATTGGGTGGTAAGTCTCCCCCTTATTATCATCCATATATTATATATATTTGTCCATCTAATTAATTCCCACTGCACAATGAGCTGAGTACCAATTCATGTAATTGGATTCTCACATACTCGAATCAACACTTATCTACACCCTTGGATCCAACTTATCTTCAAGGATATGGAATTAGTTTTAAGAAAAATGAGTAAATTTTATATATACTAATCCTTCCGAAAATTTGTGATGAGGTGTTTAGCAAGGGGCTAGCTTGTGCCACATCATATTACTTGTGATTTTCATCACTAGTTATCCATTTCAAGGGAGGGAATTATGCTATTATTAGGGTGAGTACAATGCCTAAAAAATTTCTTTAAAGATTAAAGAAGCTCCTCAAAAGTACTTCTTTACTATTTATTGGCAATCAACTATCCACAACCAAGCTAAAGGCTTGAATATTGGTGTGTCAATACATGAAGGAATTTTGTCATAGAAAAACTAGAGTAAGAAGTAACTAACCACTGGTTGTTTTGAATTGATACACTTCCCAACTACAATATTTCTTATTACTCACTTTCTTTAACTACTTTTTTACCATGAAAAACATGGATTGGTTTATTTATTTTATTTTTGAGTAAATTTTGTAAATGGTCACGAATTATGAATGATTTTTCATATTTAGTCCCCAGTTCTTAGATATTCTGTAAATGGTCCTCAATTTTATGAAACGATTCCATAATTAGTCCTTTAGGCCAAATATGAGAGAATACTTTTTCTAAAAATAGCCCCTGAAATACCGATTATGGAATAGTTCTAAAAAATTGAAGACCATTTATTTAATATCTAAGAATTAGAGACTAAATATGAAAAACTACCTGTAGTTAGAAACCATTTATGAAATTTACTCTTTATTTTTTGAAAAAATTAGAGAGAGAAATTACTTTTGGTATTATGAGGAGTACTTCGTCAATTATTCTAGGAAGAGAATTGCTTGAAAAAACAATTTGTTCGGAGTGATAGATAACGTATCAATCTCAAGAAAGGTTACCTTAGCTTAGCTTTGTTTTCAAAATCACCTTAAGTCCTTATCAAGTGCTTGGGGGTTTCGTTATTCATCTCCATAATTGATAGTTTATGCCAAACATGTTTCCTTGTGGTAAAGCACACAATTGATGAGGATAATTGTTTATCTTTATTTGCTACATAAATATTATGTTTACTTTTGACATTGTAGGTTAATGTGTTCAGAGAAAGAAGAGCATTAGCACTAACATTGGACGACACAAAAACAGCGGTTAAAAAGTTGCACCAGATGGTGACAGTGTTAGTGGCGGTCATCATTTTCCTCATCAGCCTGGTAATCCTAGGATTTGTAACGGGAAGGGATCTTATGTACATAAGCTCCCAGGTGGTGATCGTGACATTCATTTTTGGGAACCAATGCAAGAACGTGTTCGAGGCAATCATATTCTTGTTCGTGATGCATCCATTCGACGTGGGGGACAGATGCGAGGTGGATGGAGTTGAGATGGTGGTGGAAGAGATGAACATCTTGACAACTGTGTTCTTGAGGTACGACAATCTAAAGGTACACTTCCCGAACAGCACGCTAGCAATGCGGCCCATAGGGAACTTCTACCGGAGCCCGGACATGGGAGACTCAGTGGACTTCTTGGTCCATATAGCGACACCAATGGACAAGATAAAAGGGATGAACCAGAGGATAGTGAACTTTGTGGAGAGCAAGAAGGAGCACTGGTATTCGTCCCCCATGGTGGTGTTGATGAACATTGAGGACATGAACAAGCTGAAAATGTCAGTGTGGCTAAGACATAAGATGAACTTCCAAGACATGGGAGAGAGGTGGCTGCGACGTGCTCAGCTAGTGGATGAGATGGTTAAAATATTCAAGGAGATGGACATAGACTACCGACTCTACCCTGTCGATATTAATGTTCGCGCGATGCCCACCATTCAGTCCACCCGACACCCACCTAAGTGGCAGCCTCCCTCCATCCCAGATCCATCCGTTTGATGTACGTACCTGTATCGGCCTATTGGGTGTAGGCTTCCAAATTATATTCTTCAAGTTCCACAATATGAATTCAGATTGAACTCTCAAACCATTTTTGATAGTTGTATTTAGATTTACACTGAAGTAGAATTCTTAAAACCATTTGAAAAACTTGTGTTTCAATTCAGTTGGATTAGTTTTCTACTCCATTTTACTTTACTTAGTTAGTAGTATGAAGTATAAAATACTCCGTAGCTAGTTTTTTCTTCAAGCACTTGCCTAGAATTAACAAGCACCCATGTGTGGTGGTTTTTTGTGCCAAAAGTGCAATTTATTCCCTTTAGATTACATTTTAAAAATGATAAATATATGATAATTAAAGTTGACAAAATAAATTGGAAGGTTAAATATTAGTAGAGCCGAAATTTCATGGGGAGAAAGAAATATTATTTCTTTCCTAAAGTCCTAGATGGCATATATATATATATATATATATATATATATATATATATATATATATATATATATTTGAGAAAGAAGATTTTATTAGATAAAGAAAATAGTACAATAGGAGGGGGGGGGGCTAAATCCCCAACAAGCCCACCAAAGCTAAAAAGAAAAACGAGAAGCTATAATAGCTAAGTTCATGCCCCTAATGGACCAAAATAGATATAAAAAAAACAGATACAAGAGCAACAATTAATTTGAGAAATCATATTCATCCTCAAAATTAGTCTTATCCAATGTGTATTTAGCATCAAGTGCTAAGTTTGTCATCTCCATAGCTTGGGCTTGTTTGAGTTTTAGCTTAGCCTTCCTTTTCTTTTTTTTGCTAAGCTTTGTATGTGGTTCCAAAGGGGGAGCTTTAAGTTGAATTTTCCTCTCTTTGATTGTTGGGCAGCTTTCCTTGAAAGCAGAGCGAATGCCCTCCACGGTAAACTCATCCTCAGATGTGTCTACTCCCTTAATGGGGTGTTCTTTCCTTCCTGCAGATATTAACTTAGCCCTACTTCTAGTAACCATGTGAGATGGTGAAAAGGTTGACTTACCCTTGTTTAATTTAGGGAGCTGCATTGACACCTTAGAGCATCTAGAGGTGTTTATTCTAA